GTAAATTTACAAGGCGTATAAAAACAAAGGGGAATGATTGATTTGCAAATATTAATTATATGAGCAATTAAGTCAGTGAAAGATTGTAAAAATTCAGCTTGACTCAGTTTAGACCAGTCGGTCACACAGCACCCAATTGACCCAGGTATGTTATCACTAATTTTACATGATGCCAAAACGCGCTAAACACGGTAACCGACCACAGGGTCTAGTTATTAAAATGTTCGGTGTTGGTGTCACAAATTGCTCTGCTTTGGGCGAGACAAAAAAAAAATGCGACCTCTTAATTATAAATCAGTCATCTATATTTTTATTATTTTGGCCATTTTCTAAGGTACTGAATGTTTGTTTTTTCTTACCTTTGAAGTATAAGGCAGAATGATTGTAAGGTGTAATTGTAGCATACAAGTACCTTAGTCTAACTCAAAGTAAACTCAATTTCTTAAACTGGCATGAGTGTAAAAGCGTTAATATATATTTTTTCTTTTAATTAAACAGTTGATTTCAAGATTAACTTGGTTTTCTTGCTTCAGCAAATTACTGTTGAAACACGAAGTCATGTAACTTCGAATTGATTCAATTTCTTCTTCTTCTACATCTTGAGGACCCACGATCAATGCATTGAACATTCTGGCTACTATTTATGTAGCGCAGTGGTTCTCAACCTTCCTAATGCCGCGACTCTTTAATACAGTTCCTCATATGATGGTGACCCCCAACCACAATATTATGCAATATTATGTTGGTTGCTACTTCATAGCTGTAGAGTGCATGTGATTTCCCCCGTGAAGTGTCGTTCGACCCCCAAAGGGGTAGCGGCCGACAGGTTGAGAACCGCTTATGTAAAGGGTAATCGCGATGTTTCTGTGCCTGTCATTAGAAAAAACTATTTCACTGGTGGCAAGGACGACCACTCATTACAGGTTGAGAACCGCTGATGTAAAGGGTAATCGCGATGTTTCTGTGCCTGTTATTAGAGAAACTATTTCACTGGTGGCAAGGACGACCACTCATTACAGGTTGAGAACCGCTGATGTAAAGGGTAATCGCGATGTTTCTGTGCCTGTTATTAGAGAAAATATTTCACTGGTGGCAAGGACGACCACTCATCGAGGGTATCAGGAACTGGGTTTTGGAAGGCAGGAGGCAATAGACGCGAATGTTTCAAGTGTTGTCACCTCAACTGTTCCTTTCGGGGAGCTTTTTCCAGTCCCTTATTGTCATAGGCAGGAATTAGCAGTTCCTGTATTGTGCTCTTGCTGTTATGAGCCGGAACTGCCTGTAACGGCCTCGTCGCTGTCTACGGGGGAGGAGAGAAGGGAGAGTTTTTTTTTGTTTTTTTAAAGATTTATCATAGAGGGTTATTTAGAGAAAGAAATGACACAAAATCCTGAAATATTTTGGTCATTTAAAATGTATCTGCCATATTTCTCTCTGTGGAGCTCAACCAGCCAAACGATCTTCAGACAATACACATATATTAGTTCAAGCTTCGAAAAGATTCTGGAAGCACTTAGTGAGAGAGTTAGCCCATGCGCATTGACACAACCATCTTGGAAAAGAAACACGAAGCCGATTTGAGACAGATATAATGCAACTCTATATCTCAGGCCGTTATTTTTTATTTCATTATTACTCTTAATAAATCAACTAGTTATGACTCAGCTCTATTACAAGAATTTTTGTGGAATCTTCATATTCCGATCCTAAAGCTAAGGAGACGTTCACGTCTTTAAAAAAATTATTTGCGTGAAATTTCTTTAGTTTCTCTTCGATGCCATAAACAATCCCCCACCACCCCCCTTCCCCCCCCCCCCCAAAAAAAAATGTGGGATGACAAATGTAAAAAAAACAACAAAAAGTTAATTTGAGATTATAACTTTAAATAGGGGGTGGGGGGCACCGAGTGAATTGTGGCATCTAAAAAGCATTCCCTTCGCTCATTCTTTTTAGTGCTAGGGTTAACATATTTTGAAAGTCGATTATCTCAAACTAAAGGTGGCAAAGTCTTACCAGACGTTGACACAACACAAACCTACAATCCGGAAGACCGCTGCTCTACTCCACAAAGCTCAGAGCGACTGTTTGTTGGTCTATTGATCAAAAGAAAACCAAATAATGAATCGCAACTACTCTAACACGCAAATTCCTCCTAAACTATGGATGGTGGTTCGTGGAAAGTTTGGTCATAATTTCATTGCAACAATAGCAGTAATTTTAAAAATCATAAAATAAGTACGTAAAATATAATTAATATAATAAAAATATATTGTTTTTAATTCGCTGAGAGGAACGGTAAGTTATTTTTAATATACTCATTTGTTTGCTTCCAAAACATGTATTAAAGCAGTGGTTGCCAACATTCCTTAATGCCGCGACCCTTTTAAACCCTTCCTGGTGTTGTGGTGACCCCCAACGATAAAACCATAAATTTTCGTTCGTACTTCACGCATATGTGTTTTCCAATGGTCTTAGGCGACCCCTGTGTAAGGGTTGTTCGACCTTTTTAGGAAACTACAGTTCATAGCGTGATGTGATAAGGGTGGGGGGGGGGGAGTGGCTCACCATTAGATTAGAAATATCGCATAGATCAGGGGTTCCCATAATGAGTGCGTTGGCGTCACACGGGGTTTTACAGTCCGCGGGGTTCTTGTATTAATTAGGGGGGGGGGGGGGGGGGGGGGGGGGGGGGGGGGGGGGAGTGGCTCAACATTAGATTAGAAATATCGCATAGATCAGGGGTTCCCATAATGAGTGCGTTGGCGTCACACGGGGTTTTACAGTCCGCGGGGTTCTTGTATTAATTTGTATAAACAATGTCATATAGTAGATGTGAGCGGTAAAGGGGAAGAGTGTGATCTAGTCGCAGATCAGCAGACGGTAAAACTACGTCACTCAATGGGTTGGCTGCATTTTGTGAGCATAGCAATATCTGAAATTTCAGTCCATAGTGGATTCCCTTTTCTAATGAAATCATTTACACGTTGTACATGCATTATTATCGTCTTTCATCTCACTCACATTAAATTTCTGTTTAGATTTGTCACTGACATCAGATAAAGCCATGGTGGTGTTACAGTCAAATATTGATCAAGACACTGAACTCTTAAAATACATGAAACGTCATACAGGAGTTCATCAATATGTAAATGGTGATTTTAATTAAGTGTATGTCTTTTCTTTTTAAATTTGAGTTTTGTGGGCCCAAATTTCGTGTCGTCTTATATGAGCTTGTTTAATCTTTAAAAAAAATAACTGATAGTTCCACACTAAACTTGGTACAATTGTATTTGAAATCATTGATAGAAAAAAAATAATAAACTTGAAGTTGTTTATTTTGTTAACTCCTAATATTGACAATATTACTGGAATACTAATTTTATCTTCGTTATGTGCGCTATATCATTTTTTAAATTTTTGTTCAACTTATTTTAATGGGACATCTTTTAAAATTTTAAATTTAACTTGTCTACTTAGTAGATGAGCTATTTACGGACCCTGTCTTCGTAATAATGTAAACAGCATCTGATTGAACTGGTCCCCAAAGGGGCCCTTATTTTTGTTGGAAATCGTTTGGAGTTACAACATTCTGTTTTACAGTTTTTAGTAATGAAATAATGACCACACAAAGGGAACGTTCCAACAAGTTCTGTATTGTTCTAAGTAGGTTTACAGTTTACGAATATGGCAATGAGATCTAAATGTTTATGGAAGCTGTACTTAACTTTTATAGGTTAGTATACTTTCGTATGAATTTCCTCAGCATCGGTGAATATACTATTTAAAATTAATTTTAAGCTTCTACCTTATTCTAGATTGATTTTGGATTTTTTTCCCCACTATGTCATTCTCACTCATAGATTCAATAGAGGGAAAAACTCTCGCATTTTTATGTCCCAGGCTAACACAATAGAGCAGATCCATCTAATTGGGTATGCCATTAAACATTAATTTAATTAACCTAGAAGTCACCCTGGACTCCCTTAAAATCAAGTTTTGTGCACGGAGTTAAGATATTTGTTCATACTTTCAACAACAACAAACATAGTGCATACATGTCATTAGGTTGGCTTAAATATATGTAGCGTGTGCCACCTGTGTATTAGACTTGTAAGTCATTCTTTTGAAAAAATTAACTTTCTGAATTCGTTATTTTTCTTTCTAAAATTATTGATCTATTAAGCATTGTCTGATCTGCCTAATTTTTCTTAATAAACATATTTTTTAATTATTCAATTTGTAAAAATAAAACTAAAAACTAATTAACAACTTTGTGCAAAGTTTGAGATTTAAAATCACACATGTGAATTTTATTGCAGGATATCCCGTTATCACATTTTTCTTGCTTTAAAGTAAGACTTCATTGGTTGTGATAGTTCCAACGATAAAACATGTAATTGTGATGGGTACCAATTATATTTAAGTCTGCGTTCATAATTTGCAATTCAACAGCAAGAGTGGTATGCGTGGTGGATAAAAAAAACAGTTGAAAGTTGTACCCACACCTAGACAAACGCTATGTCCACATACATGGCCTTCAAAAGTATTTCATTGCAATTTTTTGCACATTTAGCGGCATATGCAGCTCAAAAAAAATCTTACATATAGTAAACGTATTAACAAGATGGGGATATCACAAATTTATTTAAAATTAAAACAAAGTTAATTTTGTGGTCGTTTATTTATTTTTTTTTTTTTTTTTTTTTTCCAGGTTATTTAATTTTTTTAATTTTTTACTTCTAAACATTTGATATCGGTTCAAAATTTCTGATTTCAAATAGTTTTAAAAAATGATTTTTTTTTCGATTACAACATGGAAGTAATCAATGAATGAAAGATGACTACAGATTTATTCGTCAATAATTTTAATGAAAAATTTCTCCGGGATGTAAACATTTTAACAAACATTTTTTTTATTTTAATAGTGTTCATAAGGATTTTTATATTGTTTCTTTTTAATGCAAGAAATAATATTAATAGTCAATATTGAAATAAATACCGTACAATTTTTCTTTTTGAAAGACATTTAGTAAAATAGTTCTCATTTATTTGACCATGTAAACAAAATGACCAATATTTCAAACAATTGGCAGAAAACAGCAATGAATTAATGAATCAGGTGACTTTCTGACAAAAGAACAACCACAATCAATCAAAACCACCAACTATTCAATCCAAATAACCCAACAATCAATACAAATAACCAACAAATCCATACAATAATATAATTCAATAAATCCTAATAAAAACCAAACACGGGACACATTATTTCACAATGCAACTTATCCACCATCTTAAAAAAACAGAGTGTCATCCAAAAATGTTAAGCCATCAAAAGATCAGTTAAGTAATAAACAAACATTAAAAAACACAAAGCAGCCCATCAGTGAGCCAACAGGCTAAGCCAAGTGTCTGGTGTCACACTGTATCGTCAGTCCCTTACAATGCGTGTCCTTAGTTTTTCCTTCAGCTCATAATCCAGGCTCCAACGCGATACGCATATAATGTTGTCCTCAGGGATAGAGCTCATAACCTCAGTGGGCAAGAGATGGTGGAGTCGCTGCTCAACTAAGACTACCACCCGCTCGGGGTTGTCTGCCGTCTGAGAGTACAGCGCTGATCTCAGCGTAAACATGGCCCACGAGTCCTCGACGAGAAATTGCTCAGTAATTACAAGAACGGTTCTCCAGCTGCAGCTGATGGCGTGCGAAATGCCGGAGGCTGTGTCGCACGAGAGGCTGAGGTCACGGTCGAGGATGTAGGTCGATAACCCGAGGCCCTCTTCGATGTAGACTCTGAGGTCTGAGCAGGGAAACCTATAGTCTTTATCAGCGTAACCGATAAACACTCCAATGTTATAGTCGGATAGGGTCTTGATTTTAATTCCACCCAACAGTTTGAGAAGCGTTGACGTTATGTAGAGTTTATTTCTCATCAAGACAAACACAGTTAAGAACCCGATACATATTACACAAAACAGAACAAGAGCCACCGAGAAGAAAAATTCCCCTCGACACGTCCTCCAAACTCCTTCAAGATCAACAAAAGCGGATGTGTGTGTCAAAACACCTGCACTGTCCATGCACGTAAAGTTTCTATCCTTGTCAAGGACGACATTCGTAGAGAAGATCCATTGCAAGAACTGAAGATTCTCACAGCTACATGAGAAAATATTTCCAGACAGGTACAGCTGAAACGAGTTTGGTCTGAGACTCAATGCGTCCAATTCAACTAAGATATCGTTCGACAGTGTCGTTAAGGAGTTTTCTCTCATGTCCAGTACTTCCAGATTCGGGGTGTTGTTTAAATCGAACGGAATTTCTCGAAATCTGTTCTTAGAAAGAAATACACCCTCCATCGCAGGGTTCCAAGAAAAAATGTCTTTTCCTAGAAGGCTGAGTAAATTTAAGGAAAGGTCAAGCAGTCTCAGATGTTTAAGAACTTTAAATAGTCTACCCCCGGATCCTGCCAAGAACGGGGTCTGCAAGTTGCAGCTGGAGAGATCTAAATTTTCTAAATTTGGAAACGTGTCGAAAAATGATTCGGACAAATCACAAAGGTCATTCCCGGATAGAAACAACGTTTTCAGACCAGTGAATCCGGAAATCGTGCCACTAAAACTTTGGAAGTTGTTGTTCGAGAGGTCCAATTCTGTGATACCCTCGGCCCCGCGTATTGTGTAGTTGTCAGAAAAGTACCCTGATTCTATGAGGCTTTGCATAGCCAGATGCTTCAGAGAGCTTGACACGCGGATAAAGTTACTTTCATCTTTAATCGAATGAGCTCCGCTGAACAAGACGGCGCTATTACTTGGACCGATGTTTAGGGAAATTCTTTTTCTATTTTTTGACGTTAGAACATTTCCGAGTCCATTCCGGTAACTGTGGGCAAAGGAAGACTCTCTTGCCGACAAGTCTTTTTTGATCGTGGGTCCAACCGAATCAAAAGTTTGTCCCGAAGCAAGCATTCCGTTGAACGTGGCATAACCGCCTAACATCCTGTGTATATTTGAACAATTTCGTATTGGTCCAGTTATAGTGAAAGACGTTAGACTCTGAAGCTGAAGAATGCTCAGCAGAGCCGTGCTAGTGCCTACAATCGGGTTGTCTGTGATTTCAAAACTTCTCAAGCACTTATTCAAAACATAGCGATCTTGAAAAGCACTTTCTTCAACAACAAAAATTTTATTCCTGGACAATCTTATCTCGCGCACACAAATTTTCACCACATGTTTCATTTTCTCGGCGTCCAGGATTCCGTCCCTGCTCAGGATGCTTGTGTAGCTCTCGTGGGAAAAACGGTTGACGGCGTCAAGGGAGATCATTGACATGTTCCGGCCTTCGAAGGGAGCCAACAGCTCGAGAGTTTCCTTCAAGCCCAATTGTATAAAAGACAGGTCAAGCACGTCCAACTGCGTCAATGGTTCAAACAGGCCGGAAGAGACCCTTTGAACGTTTTGAAATGCATCCATTTTTAGAGTTTTCAACTGACTGACGTTCTCGAAACTTGAATTGACCATGAAATGAACGTTGCCGGTTATCTCCAGTTGTTTCAGGTCTTTCATACTCTTGAATTCAGAATCGAAGAACAACGCTCCCCCTACCGTATTAATAGACAAAACGGTTAGATTCTGGAGAAATTTGAAAAACCCTTCTGGATAAGCATGTTGACCGATTGAAATCTCTTGAAGAAGTCGCAACTCTTTTAAACTTACCAACGGGGCGAAGACCGACGGGGGATAAACATCGGATGTCATGTCCAGTTCGTTATTTTCCAAGTTCAAAACTTCAAGATGACCAAGTCCAAGAAAACTCCCCCCTTCAAGATACTTCAATTGATTATTTGTAACACTTAGAATAATTAGTCTACTCAAGTGCTCAAAAGTTCCGTTCGGAATTGTGGCCAGGGCATTTTGATCAAGCAACACGACCGACGCGTTCTCCGGAAACCAATTCGGCTCTATGTGATCTAGACCACGATATGTGCAGTTAATCATTGAACCGAGACTAGTTTCTACAACATTGCACGGACTGCCGTTGTCGCCTCCAAATCGTAAGGTTGCATTTGAAGCGTCTGATTTCCCCGCCAAGCGTTGAGAAACTTCTTTTGACCCAGAGTTTGACGCAGCCCGTTGCATTGTATCAGCTGAAGCTTCGTCAAAATCTTGGCCTTTATTCTTTAGTTTGTGTGAGTCCTCGATTCCTTCTTCCATTTTGTCCGTCGCGCCTGTTTCAGAATCTCGGCCTTTACGTTTTTGACTTTGTTCGTGGGCGACTCCTTTTTCGATTGTTGCAACACCCACATTTGTGTTATAGTGTTTTTTAATGATCGATCCGCCGCTCCGTTTGTGACGTACATTATTAAAACGCCTGTGACGTACCGATCGCGGCCATGACACCTTAGCTGTCTTTTCCGGAGTTTGGGTGGATCGTTTTAAAATATCGACGCTCCGAGAAACAATTTTTCTTTGAGTTAACCTTGGTCTGCTACGATACAGAGGGGTTGAGAATGTCCACTGCTGGTGCCCAAGTAAAGTGCTTCCCTTTCCAAGGATCCGAACCGTTTCGACATTACTTACCGAAGACACGTTGTGAAAAGCAACAGATTGCCTAGAATCGTTGGTGTAGCGTAATCGTATACGGAAACCACTCACATCACCAGCACCATATTTTACCAGACACGAGATCAACCACAAGTGCCATGGGCTCTTGTAAAACAACAACCACATCTCCGAAATGTTCACATTTGAAAGTGTTTCCGTGCAGCACAACATACCTGCGAGTTCAACCCCATTTCTTCTATTGTACCGTGCGAAAGAAATCAACCTTATCAAGACAAAAATGGGTGTAGCACTAAATGTCGCTGTTCAGATACGTCACCTTCTGTTAAGAAACTTATCATGACACCCCCATTCCACACCGAACTTTGACCTCATTACAAGGTAACAAGAATGTGTCTTGGTTGAGTTCTTGTAAGTCACTACACAGTGAAATATTTCCCACCAAGATAACAGAGGTCCCCTAGTAACGTTGGGATGATATCACAACCCATAACAAAATTGGTTTGCTACTAAGTTCGGGGAGTTCATAGAAATTATCCTTTTTTTTTAAAGTTAGTCACTACAGAGCCACTAAAGTACCCCCCAAAAAATGTCATTAATTTGACTTTGAAATGTGTATTGTGGAGAAAATTATTTTAAACTTTGGCCGACATTTGATAAGATAAGATGAATATCAATATAATTACATTAAACTATCCCCCAAGATGCGTGCAATTGGTCGACTCAGTGACCACAACGTGGACACATCATTTCGTAATAATTCAATGATCTAAAAATTAACTAGCTCTACTATAAAACCTAATCAGGAAGGTACTAGCAACCAGAGTATATGAGAATTGATGTTAACCTCTACTTGCCACGAAAGGAAGGGCACGGGGAGGTTTTTTTCGGAAGCAAAAATCTTTGTCCCCCTTTCCTACGCCAACTACCCGATCTACTCACCTGTTTGCTAAGAGGTATGTCATTCCGCTGCTTTAACGTTTCCAAATAAATATTTTAAATTTTGAAAACCTGAGGCGATGATTGATAGTATCAAAGAAACAGTCCCTAGACACCTTTGAAGGCTCAAGTCTTTCTGCGTAAAAAAACAAAGTCGAAAGAAAAGTTCATGCTGGTTAACAAAAAAAACAACGTTGAAAGAAAATTTCATGCTGGTTAACAAAAAAAACAACGTTGAAAGAAAATGTCATGCTGGTTAACAAAATAAACAACGCCGAAAGAAAAATTAATGCTGGTTAACAAAAAAAACAAAAAAAACAAAAAAGGGCCAATCTGATGGATTTTGTCAAACACATTTTGGACGATAAAACTGACTGAGTATTTCAGCTTCATATTCTATGCTTGTGACAAAAACATCATCATCTTGGAGTTTTAACTCGATTGATAATGATGCTGATCAACGTGGCATGTATTTGAACAAATGCACGCACATGGATGAATTCGTAGCATTGACAGAGAAGATTTGGACATCATTCAAAAAAAAAAAGAAAAAAAATTTCCCTTAAGTTTTAAATGCAAGTACCCATAGGTTGTATAAACGTGCCCGCTCTAAAAATGTTGAGTCTTAATCCTAAATTGCTGAAAAAAATTAAAGATATCTTGAACAAAATGCCACCAATGGATTTCGGACTAAATTCTGGTCAGGAATACAAAGTGTTGGTAGACAAGGGGACAAGTGTCTGAAGCGGGCTTTTCAACATGTTTTCCTCAATAATTATATATGCGGAGAAAGCAGCACTAGTTCTAATAACAAAGTTCAAGTAATTTATCTTTTTTTTTAGTATATAAGAGATTTCGTTTCTTTGTTACATGTTGTGAAAACTGTCTTGACATTCAATTCATTTTGTCTTACATGTACGACATTATAAATTATAATTTGCATAAGAAGCAATTTAAAAATCAGGTCATAAAAAACAACTTTGGATGCGCTGAGAAAAAGCAAAATTCAAAGCTAAGATTCGTTTTGCTAAAATCGGTGGATTCTGGCTGACATCGATCAACCCCCCCCCCCCTTTCCCAGGCTTCGTCAGCAAGAATTTGCCAATTTAAGAAGATCGAAAACATTATAAATTATAATTTGCATAAGAAGCAATTTAAAAATCAAGTCATAAAAAACAACTTTGGATGCGCTGAGAAAAAGCAAAATTCAAAGCTAAGATTCGTTTTGCTAAAATCGGTGGATTCTGGCTGACATCGATCAACCCCCCCCCCCTTTCCCAGGCTTCGTCAGCAAGAATTTGCCAATTTAAGAAGATCGAAAATAATTATATCAATAGATTTGGGGGACCGATCCCAGCTACAATGTTGGATAATTCTGTCACACCTGGAAGTTTGAGATGCTCTTGCTCAGGTCCTATCAATGATATCGATTTTTTTATTTTTTTTGAAATGTCACAATTCTTTAAAGGACCCACGTTTGAGTTCCCAGAATTGAAGCGCAAAGATAACATCGATGGGAATTTTGTAAGCGGATCTGCAAGACTTAGATAAAAATATAACTTAATTTACATTGCCGTAAACGTGTCATTGGAAGGCATGTGGCCCGTGGGCCGTAGGTTTCCCACCCCCAGGTATATATATATATATATATATATATATTTCTTTGTCAGTTACATAATACTTGTTCATTCTATAAATGTGTATGCATACATCACGCACCCTACAGTGGAAATAAATGTTTTCTCTCTAAAACAGGAGGAAAACACATTTTTTCCGACACATTATTTTTTTATTCAATCAAGTCTTTTAACATTTAGAACTTGGACTTGTCACCCGACATGTCGGCACGATCCACGCAATGCCCTGGTCTGACTGTAGACCTGACCCAGTTCCTGAATCATTACGGGATTTCCCACTGTCAATCCTCTGTTCCTGATGTTTATGACAGTTGGATAGTGTGTAAAAGAAGATAATTAAAATATGGGTGACAATGCGGATATTATTTATTGGCACTAGCTTTGACAAGGTGCGTTGGAAGAGATGGTCCGAACTTGAAAACACATTTTTTTATCATTTTTTTAAAAAGGAATCTTCCGTTAAATGCAGCGTTGTTTTCGTTGAGGGGTAAAGGGGGGAATAACCTTTGCTAGGCCCCTGATATTTTTTTTAACCTTGTTGTTGTACAAATCGAGTGACTGTCTCCGGCCCTTTCCTGTCCTTTTTCATCTAATGTTTCCACCAACTGTTTGTGATGACATGCCATCGTTGATTCTCAGCTCCAGAGACGATATCAAGAAATTTACCACAAGTTTGATGAAGTTTTCATTAAACTGTTTTGTTTTGTTGTTGTTGTTTGTTTGTTTTAAATGGGATATGAAATATATATATGTGTGTGTGTGAGTGTGTGTGTGTGTGTGTGTGTGTGTTTGTATGTATATGTATGTATGTCTCAACGCCTTTGCAATCATCAATAACAAAGTTCCTTACGTTGTGGAGAGTTATATTTAATGAGATCTTTTGTTTATAATGGTATAAGTGTTGTTGTTCGTCCTTCGTATGCGGAGATGAACAAGGCTACCTTCGATGGTGAGATTAACAAGGCTACCTTCGATGGTGAGATGAACAAGGCTACCTTCGATGGTGAGATGAAAAAAGGCTACCTTCGATGGTGAGTACACAGGTGGTTTGCCAGTCCTATTTGTATATGGAAAGCCTTCCCGTACGTAGGACACACCTGTTTTTTGGGGATCCCGGATGGATTGGTGACGATTCTGGTTTTCCTTGCTGTCCGCTTTCGGACATGATTTGTTGTGTTTACAGCACTTCCTCTTGCATTGAAACAAACAATGGGATTTAAAAAATAGGTTAGTGTTGACACCTGGAGGCAATAGCCACGACGTAAGCATTACTTTGATTATAAACTGAGTGAGAGTTGCGCAATTCGTCCGCCTCACTCTCTCGTCCTTACTTAGGACTTGACCCGGATGCAAGGGATGACCAGAAATGATTGCATGCCTCGCTGTGCTTTTAACACATTCCCCATAACATTAGTTGTACCTGATTTTCAATCCATTGGATCACGTAAGGATCTCTCTTTTGCGTAGTCCACAGGTCCAGTCTTCATATGGTCCACCAAGTCCAGTCTTCACATGGTCCACCAAGTCCAGTATTCAAATGGTCCACCAAGTCCAGCGTTCAGATGGCCCACCAGGTCCAGTATTCACATGGTCCACCAAGTTCAGTATTAATATGGCCCACCAGATCCAGTCTTCACATGGTCCACCAGGTCCACCAGGTCCAGTATTCACATGGTCCACCAGGTCCACGAGATCCACCAGGTCTAGTATTCACATGGTCCACATGGTCTACCAGGTCCACCAGTTCCATTATTCACATGGTCCACCAGGTCCAGTATTCACATGGTCCACCAAGTTCACTTTTCACATTGTCCACCAGGTTTACCAGGTCCAGTATTCACATGGTCCACCAGGTCCAGTATTCACATGGTCCACCAGGTCCAGTATTCACAAAGTCCACCAAGTTCAGTCTCCACATGGTCCACCGGGTTCAGACTTCATACGCGAGGTAGGCACCTCCTCATGCTGTACTCGTATCTAAACGCACGTTCACAAGACAGTTGGTCGGGACAACAGTTGAAAGATAATAAAGTTATTGGATATGACGGCGGTAACATGTAACTATTCAGTTTCATTTTATCACGTTTGTAAATTTTTTATACAATTCCTTATGCTTGTCCAAAAAAACATAAATTCTAATTTCGGTGATATTCTTTCGTTTTTTTCCCCACCAATTTGATTATTCTAATTACTTTCTGTCCAAATATCTACCCTTTTTTATTTTATTTTTAATTGTGCTCTTGTTATTTTGCGTACCGCCATTCGTTGCTACCCAGATGTTCTGGTTAATCCGCTTAGTCAGCTGATATTAAGGTACATTTTTAGCTCTTCCAATTTTAATCTTAAAGAACCCAAACCAAATTAAATTCAACCACCCCTAAAAAGGGGAGGTGGGGGCCAGTGCACCAGAGACTGAGAAGAGCCGATTTTTTTTTTCCAGAACACGACAATAGATTTTAAAAAAACATTATCGCCGCTATTATATATCACGCGCGTAGACTGCATGTCAGAAACGTTAAAATTCACCGGAGGCCTGTTTCTTACATGTGTGCTCGCCTGTCTTATCCAAACAAATTCCACAGCTCGGACCGGTTGGCCGTCAGAAATTTTACAATCATCATAAATTAACGCTCAATAAGCTTGTTTGATTGCACGTTAGGGCTCCAAAATTTTTGAGCTAAATTTGAGTACCAGAAGGTCGAAAACCCTAAGCGGGAAAAAAAAGTAGAACTATTGAATTTTCTTTGCAACTGAAAAGCCCCTTACCCGTCAATTCTGAAAAAAAAACCTATAGACCCGAACATTTGATAAGAAATTATAAAGGTTTAAGATTTATAATATTGAACATCCCATCCTGACGTTATGACTGGATACTCCCCACCAAAATGTGCCACATAGCAAGGTGTGAGCAGAGTTCAGAATTTTTAAACATAGAAATTGGGGAGACAAAATCGATGGTGTTCAAAGACATGTGACGTCGCAGAATAAAATTAAAGTGTTTTTAACTTCAAATTCCGTTAATAGTTGTACGCTGTTGTTGCTGTTGTTGCTGTTGTTGCTGTTGTGGTGTTGTGGTGTTGTTTTAATGTTACCACATTGTATGTTAAGGGGGAAAATGGGGGGGGGGGGGGGTGTGGTGGTATTGAATCATTAAGTGAATATATCGTGCAACCATTTTTCCTTTTTTTTTATTATATTTTATCCTATATGTAATTGGCTTATGTTTTTTAAATTATATTTTATCCTATATGTAATTGGCTTATGTTTTTTAAATTATATTTTATCCTATTTGTAATTGGCTTATGTTTTTTAAATTATAGTTTATCCTATATGTAATTGGCTTATGTTTTTTAAATTATATTTTATCCTATACTAATTGGCTTGTTTTTTTTTTATTTTATCCTATAGGAATTGGCTCAGGTTTTTAAAAATATTTTATCCTATAGTAATTGGCTTAGGGTTTTTTTTCAAATTTTATCCTATAGTAATTGGCTTAGGTTGTTTTTTTAATAATATTTGATCCTATAGTAATTGCCTTATGTTGTTTTTAATATTTTATCCTATAGCAATTGGATTAGGTTTTTTAAAAATATCTTATCCTATTGTAATTGGCATACGTTTTTTTAATGATATTTTATCCTATAATCATTGGCTTAGGTTGTTTTTTAATGATATTTTATCCTATAATCATTGGCTGAGGTTGTTTTTAATGATATTTTATCCTATAATCATTGGCTTAGGTTGTTTTTTAATGATATTTTATCCTATAATCATTGGCTGGGGTTGTTTTTTAATGATATTTTATCCTATAATCATTGGCTGAGGTTGTTTTTAATGATATTTTATCCTATAATCATTGGCTGAGGTTGTTTTTTAATGATATTTTATCCTATTGTAATTGGCATACGTTTTTTTTTGGATTAGGCTTTTTGTTTAAATATCTTATCCTATAGTAATTGGCTTAGGGTTATTAATGATATTTTATCCTATAGTAATCCTATCCACCAGGTCCGTATTCACATGGTCCACCAGATCCAGTCATCACATTGTCCACCAGGACTGTGTTCACGTTGTGCACCGTGTCCAGTATTCACATCGTCCACCAGGTCCGGTCCTCATATGATCCACCAGGTCCAGTATTCACATGGTCCACCAGGTCCAGTCTTCACATGGTCCACCAGGTCCTGTCTTCACATGGTCCACCAGGTCCAGTATTCATTTCGTCCACCAGTTCCAGTCTTCACATCGTCCACCAGGTCCAGTAATCACATGGTCCACCAGGTCCAGGTCTCACATTTGAGGTAGACAGCTCATCATGCTATACTCTTCGTGTCTTATGGCATGCTGACATATCATTTGGTCGGGACATTGATGGTACGTCCATAAAGTTATCGGATCTGATTGCGTTAACAAGGAACTGTTAAGTTTCATTTTGTCATGTCTGTAAATTCTTTATACATTGCTTTATACTTGTCCAAAAACATAAATTCTAATGTTGGATATATCCTTAAGTGTTTTTCCCAAAACATTTATTACATAATAAATCATTTTCCGAATTTCATTTTTTTTTTTTTTTTTTTTTTTTTTTTTTTTTTTTTTTTTTTTTTTTTTTTTTTCTTTTTTTTTTGTTTTATGTGCTTATCTTATTTTGCCTTTGCCATCTCGTTGCTACTCAGATGATCTGGTTAATTCCCTTAGTCAGCCGACAATAAGAGACATCTTTAGCTCTTCCAAATTAAATCTTAAACAACCCAGGCCAATTTATATTCGACCATCCCTTAAGGGAAGGGGTTGAAAAGGGGGGGTGGGGGGGGAAGCACCAGAGACTCAGAAGCTCCGAGTTTATGCAGAACACGACAAAAACGAAAAGTAAAAAACTTTTATCGCCTATATTATATATCACGCGTGTGGGCTGCATGTCAGACACGTTTAAAATTCACCGGAGACCCGTTTCTTACATGTGTGCTCGCCTGTCTTATCCCAACAAAGTTGGTACGTCAACCACTGACAAGCTTGCTTGATGGCACGTTCAAGGCTGCACAATGTTGGAACTAACTTTGAGTACCAGGATGCTTTTTTCCCTCCCAAAAGCTAAAAAATATTTTAAAATTGTCACAAAACTATGACTTCAGTGCGCTTAATTTGACTATTTCACATAAAAGGTTTTTTTTTTTCTGCGTTAAAACCCAACCACTTAAAAAACTAGAGAGCGTATTTTTTTTTTCCAAAAAAGTCTTTACTTTTGTTGATATATGTTTCAAACAGTACCAAATGAGAGAATGTGGGGGGGGGGGGGGGGGGTTTTT